AGAACTATATAGGAGTAAAGGTTTTTGTATACTACTGAAATTTAGTTGGTATTAACCTGGAACAGATTTTTATAAGTTAAGATTTATAAACCACTAAGAAAATAATTTTAAAATATAGTAAAATAAATAGCAAGGGAATTAAAATATTATACCACTATATATCGATTTAATACAAAAGAAGGCATTAATGGAGGAACAGAGGATCAAAAAAGACACAAGACATATAGAAAACAAATAGTAAAATGGCAGATGTAAGTCTTACCTCATCAGTAATTACATAAATAAATGGATTAAACACTAAATTTAAAAGGCAAGGAATGACAGAATGGATTCTTTTATATGATCCAACTATATGCTCTCTACAAGACACAAACTTTAGATTCAAAGACACAAATAGCTTGAAAGTAAACAGGTGGAAAAACCATGCCATTCAAGTAGAGAATTCAATCATAGTAATTGGAGAGGTCAACACCCCACTATTAATGGTGATTGCGAATGGTTACGGTTTCTTGGAGGGAAATAAAAATGTTCTGAATCACAAAGTGATGATTATACATTAAAAAACACTGAACTGTACATTTTTAAAGGGTTGGTTTTATGGCATGTGGAGAACAAAAGTTCTACCCCGGCTCCCACTGCCATAAACATTCAGTTGAGGGGGATGGGAAGGGGGTTTCCCTTAGTTCTGTCACTCATCATGCCTCATATTGGCCTCTAACAGAAGTTAAAAGGTGCATCCCTACCTTTCAATACATTTCATAGAAAATAAACCAAACTCTATTCATAGCATAAGGGGCTCAGAGTCACCTGGACATACTCAAAGAATCTGAGAATCACTCAGTATCAGCATTTTCCAAAGTATGTTTCATAAAACACTTGTGCAATAGGAAATGAATAGGTTGCAGAGAAAAGGGTCCTGTTGTCAAATAAATTTGGGAAACACTAGGTTAAGTAAAATTACACTGTTTTCTGTACTGCTAGGGCTTCTCCTTGTCTTCAGTATCCTGTAAGGCTGCAAGTCCAGGGCATGGTAGAACCATTTCTCAAGCTTATTTGATAAGGAACCCTTTTGATCCTCATGACATTTCTCAGGACTAGTAGGAAAACTGCCCTAGAGAGCTCTATTGAGACATCTCAGAAAGCCATAGAGAGGCTCCAACGGGAAAGCTACAAAAGGACAGGTCCCTGTTCCATGAGTAAAGATAGAGCATAGCTTCCTCGGCTCAAAAGTCAAAATGCTCTAGAGGGGGGATGAGGTCACATAAGGAAGTGGAACAGGATATAACCAAAGTCTTAAAATCTGCCCAGCCGGCGTGGCTCAGAGGTTGAGCATCGACTTAGGATCCAGGAAATCGAGGTTCGATTCCCAGTCAGGACACATGCCTGGATTTCGGGCTTGATCCCCAGTGGGGGGCATGCAGAAGGCAGCCGATCAGTGACTCATCATTGATGTTTCTATCTCTCTCTCCCTCTCCCTTCCTCTCTGAAATCAATATTTAAAAAAAAACAAAAAAAAACCTAAAGCATTTGCTGATAGATGGCTTACTCATCTTTAAATCTCCAGCACCTAACATGAACATCTGGCAAATAGCTACATGCAATATGCTTATGAAATGAGTTAATCAAAAAATAAAACTAGGAGAGACTCAGGCTTCAAAGGGATTAATTTGTATATGAAAAATATCAGCTTTTGGAACCCTCCTTCAAAAAGTGATTTAGGCGAGAAAACAGTATCAGATGCATTCCACCGTGGGTTGTTGCAAGTACCTGTGAGGGGGTAGGCGTAACTATGGCAGCCAGCCCTTCCCAGTCTCATCTCCTGGATCTTCTGCCAGGAGAAGGCTGGCTCGCTGAGCGCTGGGTCTGATCTAACATGGCTCTTCTTGTGTTCTTGCCCTCAGGCTGGGGTCATTACAGAGGCAAAACTAAAGGATCTGACACCCCCCATGCCTGTGGTGTTCGTCAAGGCCATCCCTGCAGATAAGCAAGATTGCCGCAGTGTCTATCCGTGTCCGGTGTACAAGACTTCTCAGCGGGGACCCACCTACGTATGGACGTTCAACCTGAAGACCAAGGAGAACCCATCTAAGTGGGTTCTAGCTGGAGTAGCTTTGCTTCTCCAGATTTAGCTTCCTGCAGAGCCACTGAGAGGACAAGCTGGGCTGGAGACTGCCCAGAGGGACAAGTGGGGGAGGCGTGACCACAGACACAGAGACAAGAAATCATAAGCGCTCACAATTCTGTATAATTCTTTTAAGGAACTCGGAGAGAAGTGCCTACAGGGAAGCTGAGCTGGAAGAGTGTGCACCTAGGAGCTAGGGGGGAGGCACCTTTCCTAATAAAGTGATTTATTCTTCAACTGTGTCTGGTCCAGGCTTTGAGTTGCAGAGTCATAAATGACCCTTGAGAGCCAAAGAGAAACAGGCCACAGACACGAGCCCTGCCGCTGTTGCGCGGCACTGTGCTCAGTGCGCCAGCTCCCAGCTACTCCACAGATGCGCAGCACTGGCATCACCCATAAATCAGTCTGCGTTTTAACAAGCTCCCCAGGTGCTTTGTATGCACGTTATGGTTTGAGAAACATTGCTCTGGAACAGGAGTCACATTTTCTATAAAGGATAAGAGTAAATATTTTAGGATTTGCAGGGCATATTGTTTGGTTGCAACTACTCAATTCTTCCACTGTAGCCCCAAAGCAGCCATAAACAATATAGAAACGAATGGGCGTGGCCACAAACAAAATTTTCTTTATGAAAACAGGCGGTGAGCTATATTTTGCTGATCACTACTCTAGAGGATAAGAAGAGTGTATATACAGATACATATGTACATATATGGTGTCCCAAAATAATGTACACACACACTTTGAATAATTATAAAGGCAGTGTTATTAAAATACATTTCATTTTCAAAACTGACCTATCAGCTGTTAAAGGGTGTATATATTGTTTTGGGACACCCGGTATATCCGTCCTTAATTCACACATCCATTCAATACATTGTTATCTAACATCTATTTGCGGAGAACACAACTGTAAATAATAGGTTGTTTCCTGTATCTCCACCATCCATCAGATCGAGAGGAGGGACCCAAGGAGAAACCCTTCACCTAAGGCTGTTTAACTTAGTTTTCTAGAATTTATTCTGTGGAATGCATTTTCACTGGGAGCGTAAGCAGTTCCAGTTTCATGAGTTTTAAAGAGTTCTATGGGTAGGCTTCTTTGGTAAGAAGAGTCCAGGAGGGCCGAGTATCCTTTTCAGCATCACTCTTCACACATATCCTTGCAGAGACTTTTCTGGATTGAGCAGACATCAGAGTCCCCTTGGAGGGCTTGTTAACACAAAGATTGCTGGTCCCCACCCTTTAGAGTCTACGATTCAGTAAATTGCCAATGCTGCTGGTCCGGGAACCACTCTTTGAGAACTCCTGATTTAGAACATAAATACCCATGCCCTGGCTGGTGTTGCTCAGAGGGCAGAGCGCTGGCCCACGCACCAAAGGGTCGCAGGTTTGATTCCCAGCCAAGGGCACATACCTAGGTTGTAGGTTCGATGCCCAGTCCCGGTTGGGGAGCTTGCAGAAAGCAACCAATAGATGTTTCTCTCTCTCCCCCACCACCCTTCCTCCCTTCCACTCTCTCTAAAAATCAATGGAAAAAATATCCTCAGGTGAAGATTAACAAAAAATAAAATTAAAACATAAAAACCCAGCCCTGGCCAATGTGACTGTTGGCTGAGCATCCTCACATGCTCCAAAAGGCGTAGGTTCGTTTCCTGATCAGGGCACATGCCCATGTTGTGGGTTCAATCCCCAGTCGGGATGCATGCAGAAGACAACCAATCAATGTTTCTCACATCTGTCTCTCTCCCTTCCTCTAAAATGAATTTAATAAAAAACACTTTTTTGCCCGGCCAGGCGTGGCTCAGCGGTTGAGTGTTGGCCTAGGATCCAGGCAATTAGGGTTCGATTCCCGGTCAGGGCACATGCCCGGGTTGCGGGCTCAATCCCCAGTTGGTGTGTACAGGAGGCAGCCCATCAATGACTCTCATCATTGATGTTTCTCTCTCTCTCCCTCTCCTTTCCTCTATCTGAAATCAATATATATTTTTTTTAATTAAAAAACACTTTTTTAAAAGTATTTTTTTAAAAACCATAAAACCCCACCATCCTACAAACCTCTGCTCTGCAGAATGCAGCATCTAATGCCAGTTCTTTCAGGATTTTCCTGCTTCCTGCCCTGTGGTCCCCGCACCCCCTAAGGGCCTTATTCTTGTCTTCATGCTCTAAGGGAGTTAAGTGCCTCTGGAATCCAAGAATTCCAATTTCAGTTTGGTCTCCCCTCTCACCAACCAGTAATGGACTTCCCATTGTGTGCCAACAACTAGCAGTTTCCTGCCTACAGGTTAATGTCTTCAGCTGCCTCCCTCATTAGCATTGTGTCCTGCCCCCCTCCCCCCCCCAGCGAGAACAGTAAAATAAGAGCACACAAGGGGAGAACCACAAAGGAAAGGAGAGGAAGTCTAACTATACAAGAGCAGCCAGCTTCGGGACATGTAACTTTTGAAGATAAGGACAAGTGAGCAGGTTAGATATATGTGTTAATAAGCCTCTAGATATTACTATAAATTAAATCAATATTACTGACTTCTTCCTAACACCTACAAGCAAAATTATGTCATAAAGATAATTTTAAAGCACAGAACACTTTGGCAAAAATGGTAGCCTAAGTGGGATGCCAGTAGAAAGAGGGGCAGCTTGAGGTGTGCAAGCCAGTGGGAGGTGGGCTCAGACAGAGGATACCAGGGACAGACTTACCTGAGACAAGCAAGCACAGCACTGGCCAAGCTCTCACATCTGAGCACCAGGCCAGCACTTTCCTACCAATGTGCAGCTGGTTGATACTTGATAGGTTTGTGTGGGATGCTCTAAGCGCTCGACTACCATTGAGGGTCTACGAGAAATGCACTTTGAGTTACAGTCAACACACAATGGACACAAATGAGACAGGAGTGACTCTACTAAGTTTATTTAAAACAGGGACAGAACATTAACTTTGCACTGGTGTGACAAAGAGCACAGGTGAGCTCACTGGCCCTCTATGTCCCCCCTTTCCTAACAGATGGCCTGCTCTAGGACCCCACTTCTAAAGGGCTGGTCCAAGGTTCTTCACATGAGCAGCAATTGTGGCTCCCCAGGCAGCACTTCTAAAACTGGATCTCCAAGCAACAGCTTTGTCCCATCTTGTCCCCAAAAAAGAGAGGAGGTGAAAGACAAAGACTATCCTTTCTCCTGATGCAGAAGCAAGAAAACCAGAGTAAAATCCAATCCAGGCTGACATATCCTCCAAGTCCAAACTCACGTTCAGGTACTCTTCTCCAATCCACGCAGGATAGCCTCTAAGAGACGTAATTTCTCCCGAGGAGCTCAGTGTTGTAAATGGACCAGCATACAGAAATGGGCTAAGACAGTGTGGCTACTGAAAGGACTTCTTTCCTAAATGGGATCTTTGATGTTTATCAAGACTGGAACTCCAGCTGAAACTTTTCCCACAGCGGGAACATTTGTAAGGTTTCTCTCCTGTGTGAACCCTCTGATGTCTATTAAAGTTTGATCTCTGGATAAAACTCTTCTCACAGATGGGACATTTGTAGGGTTTCTCTCCTGTGTGTATTTTCTCATGGTGGCGCAGTCCTGAGAAGTCACTGAAACCTTTCCCACAGTAGTCACATTTACAGGGCTTCTCTCCCGTGTGAATTCGCTGATGTTTCACAAAGTCAGAGCTCCGCAGGAAGGCCTTTTTGCAGGTGGGGCACTGGAGGTATGTCTCCCTGGTGTGAGTTCTTTGGTGAAAAACAAGCTGAGAATTCCTGTAAAAGGTTTTCCCACACTCCCTGCAGGTGGGCAGCTTCTGGGCCATGGGGGCTCTCAGCTGCCCTTTAGGGGAGGCCTCTCTCTTCTCTTCCAGCCACAGCACGGACAGTTCTCCTGCATGAGGATCAGGCAGGTGATGGCCTAGTTGTTTCGCAGAGTTCCTTTCTTGAGGAGAGAGCTGTCCCCCTGTCCCCTCACCCTGAAGGTTTTCCTGAGCCTCAGGGAGATTCTCTCCTTCTCCAAAGTGTCTCGGCTCATCCGCAGTGAAGAGGCCACTTAAGGAAGCCTGAAAAGGTGCCTCCTCTGAGGCATGACAGGAGGCATCTGGAGGTTCCTGGTCCCTATAATTTTCCAAGTTCAGGTTCTCTTTGTCATTTTCCTGTCTACTGCCTGAAAGAAGAGAGATTTAAAATAGTTCAGTACATGGCATGCCCTATTTTCTAATTCATATGTCAAAGAAAGAGCCATCATAAAACATTAATTCTTTTACCAAGGGGGCATCAGTGAATGAGGGAGAAAAGCTCCATCCGCCCTGAGTGCCTGGCACTCGCTTCACTTGTGCTATCCTTTCTCCTGATGCAGAAGCAAGAGATGCAGATGCAAAGCAAGTGACTTTGCATCTCCTGACTCAGCCGGGACCCGAGGAGAACGTCTGATGCAGAGGAGGGCTCACAGAGAGCACTGTTGACACACACACATCTCCCCGCAGAAAAGCAGCATGTGCTTTTTTCTAATTACAGTTGACATACTATATTAGTTCAGTTGTACGACATAGGGATTTGACATTTATATACCTTAAAAAGTGATCACCACAGAAGTTTAGTAACCATCTGTCTCTGTACATAGTTAGTGCAACATTAATGACTATCCCCCAGGCTGTACATTACATTCCCGGGACTTATTTTATAATCTCAGGTTTGTACTTCTTAATCCCCTTCCCCTCTTCCACTCATCTCTCAAAATCCTCTCGCTTCTGACAACTATCAGTTTGTTATTTGTATCTATGAGTTTGCTTCGGTTTCATTTTGTTTGTTCATTTGTATTGTTTTTTAGATTCTGAATATAAGCGAAATCATATGGTATTTGTCTTTCTCTCTCTGACTTATCTCACTTAGCATAATACTCTTTAGGTCCATCCATATTGTTGCAAATGACAAGATTTCGTTCTTTTTTATGGCTGAGTAATATCCCATTATATTTATTTGTTTCTGTGTGCGTGTGTGTGTCACCTCTTCTTTATCCACTCATCTGTCAACGGAAATCTAGGTTGCTTCCCTTGGCTATTGTAAACAATGCTGCAATGAACAAGGAGATGCATATGTTTTTTTGAATTAGTGTTTTCACTTTCTGAAGATAAATACCCAGAAATGGAATTGCTGGGTCATAGAGTAGCACTATTTTTACATGTATTTATTAAGAACCAGGAAAAACAAGTATATTATATGAGAGTACTACTTTAAAAAATGACTGGTTATTATCTGAATATATGTAAATATAAATATGATCACTAAAAATAATTTTAAAAGTATACAGAAGATAACCAAATCAACCTTAATTATACAACCTAGAGGTAACAACAAGTATACATTTCCTTCCAGTCTTTTTTTTTTTTTTTTAAACTATATCTTTATTGACCCGAGAGAGAGGAAAGAAGAGGGAGAGAGAGAAAAACATCAATGATGAGAGAGTCATTGATGGGCTGCCTCCTGCATGCCCCCAACTGGGGATCGAGGCCACAACCCGGGCATGTGCCCTGACTGGGAATCGAACTCCAATCGCCTGGATCCTAGGTCGACACGCAACCGCTGAGGCACACCTGGCCGGGCTCCAGTCCTTATTTAACCAATACATATGAGTGTACGTGCTTTCATCTGACATAATTGATAGGTTGTATATACAGTTCTATATCTGGCTTTGTAGCATTTAAATTGTAAACGACGGTCTTTATCAATTTCACATGGTTCCTTTACAAGGAACCTAGAAATTCATGAAATGCAATGTGTCATTTTATTATGGTTTTAATGTACAGTGAGGTTGTAGCATAAAAGTGAATCTATGCTTGAATCCAGCATTCACTGTGCTTTGTTAACTCATGTAACAGTTGAAATTTTATTTTTCTCATCATAACTTAGGTGTTTGGTCATTACAAGTTAATGATGCATATAGCAAAGATTTTATTTTGGTGGTAGAATTTATTTTCAGCTTTTGTAAATTACTTTATTCCTGTAGATCTAATGAAGTTATTTACCTTTCTCTTTCCTATATTAGTCTTTCAGATTATCTGCTAAAGACCCAGGAACCTGCAAGAGAAGTAGACCTGAACTTGTTAATTTACAAAGCCTTAGAACATACATATTCTTCTCAAATGGCAAAGGCACTTTCTCTTGTCCTTAAAGAAGCCTTTATAAATATCATTTAAAAAGCTGAATAATGGTCCATCATGAAGATGTCATAATAATAAACTTATAATTTATTTAAGAATTCTCCTACTGTGGTGTTTTTACAACTATAAATAATGCAGTGATAGCATTTTTCTTCATAAATTTTTACCCACATTTCTGATCAATACCTTAAAGGAGGTTCCTTGAAGTGGAATTACTATGTCAACAGGCATAAATATTGTCATTAAGGCTCTTGATGCCTATTGACACACTGATTTCCAGAATGACTCTATCCCCCTCTGGTGTGAGAAGCCAGGCCAAGTGAAGAACAGTTTCAATACTTAAGTACTGAATACTTTAAAAAGATTGCCCATTATTTAGACCAGTGAAAAATGGCTTTTCATTGTTAAAAGTTTTAATTTTTAAAGCATGAATTTTTCACATTTATGAGCTATTTTTCATACTCCAACACTGCTGTCCATTTTTTATTAGGAAAGTCATTTTTTATTATCAACTTGCATTAACTATACACTAAGAAAAATAATCATTTATCTGTCATGTTCATAAAAAATGTTCTTCACCAATCTGGTTTCGTTTCCTGGGGTTATTTCTATGTATAAAAGTTGTAAGGGGTTTTCTTTTTAAATATATTGAAGTCTATAAATCTTTTCCTTAATGATTTTTCCATTGCTTTTATACTTATAAAAACCTCCATCCTGCCCTGGCCAGCTGGCTCAGTGGTTGGAGTACCATCCCATATACCAGAAGGTTGCGGGTTCGATTCCTAGTCAGGACACACACCGTTCAATCCCAGGTGGGAGGTGAGAGGCAAAGGATCGATTTTTTTCTCACATGGATGTTTCTCTCTCCCCCTCCGCATTGTAAAATCAATAAAACATGCCCTAGGGTGAGGGTTATAAAAAGAAAAAAACTTTCATCCAGACATGAGTCAAATAGTCACTCACTTTCCTCTTTACTATTACCATATTTTATGTCTTTTTCATCTATTTCCAACTTTTTTTTAGTATATAACATACATCAAATTTAAACCACTTCCTTTTCCCAAAGAGTCTTTTTCCTGACATTGCTCACTGAAGACAGGTCGTCCCACGGATCTGTGAGAATCCCAGGGTATGGAGATTCGCACACAGACCAGCTTCCTTCCCTGGGCTGCCTTTTCTGTTCCATTAGTCTGTGCATCTATTTTCACATCAGTATCCCAATATTTTAATGATTTTACCTATTTTAAATGACAGGATCTTAATATTTAGAGATCTAATATTGATGAAACATTCTTCTTTCTAAACTTTTTACTATTCTTGCAGTATTATTCCAGATAATTACTTAAGAATCATTTTTGCAAATAATGTTTTTAATCTCTTGGGATTTTGATTAGAGGCATGTGTAGACGGCTTTGTGAGGCTCGCTCCTCTGCTGGCCTGTGTTACCTAGGAGCTGTTCTTCCATATGCTCAAGTGAAACAGCGTGCACATGCTCTCCTGTAACTTTCACACCCCGACTAAGTCCAGATCTGGCACACCAGCTAGCTGGATCTTTCCATCTTTTCCTCGTTGCTTCCACATGGGTCTGCGGTCTCATGCCTGCACATCTGGACTCCTACATCAACTTCCCACAGGGTTCCTCTCCCCCAAGTACCCCCTCCCAGGCTTTCCTGCACACTGCTACTTCCTCAGCCTCTCCCTTTCACATATCCTCTCCACAAGAACCTGCAATGGCTTTAGTTTCCCTTATCGAGACAGGCTGCCTCTGTTGGTTCTCTACAGTCTGGTACAAGGCAAGATGTAATGGGCATGTCAGCAGATGGAATGAAGGGAACAAGAAAAGAATGAGTTGGGGACATAGGGAGCTATATATCACAAGCAGTCCTACTGCAAGGAAGTGCATGGGAAATCTCTGTACCTTCCACTCAATTCTGCTGTGATCATGAAACTGCTCTAAAAAATAAAGTCTATTAAAACATAATTCCTACTGCAATAACCTCTAAAGCAATATTCTCAAACTTTTTTGTCTGCTACCCACAGTAAGAAATATGTTTATATTGAAATACAGTATATGCACATATATTTGGAACAAAAATTTCCTGAAACACTATCTATCCTGATATTTAATATTTCCTACTTACATCCTGATATTTTCTATTTAATTGTATTTTTTTTTTTTATGATGGCTGTAACCTATAAAATGATTTCATAATACACTAATTGGTCATGAAATGCAGTTTGAAAAATACTGCTCCAAAGGTAACTTTGTGAAATAGTATTATGATAAATATATTCCTTAAAATTAAAATCCTGTCTCATTTGATGTTTTCTCTCTGTGGTATTTAGCAAAGAAAAAGAATTCAATACCACTGGGGAGAAAGAATGATGTCATACAGTTCATGTCCTTCCTACAAGACGGGTCTTTTGCGTATGTAATAGTGTGTATGTCTAAGTAGATTTGGCAGAAAGGTTTCACATAAGGGCAGTATTTTAGAATAATGTAGAAGGCAAAGGGGATTGCTATTTTACAACAGAACAAGTTCATATTTCTTCTTCCCCAGCCCTAAACACATATTTGTATGAAGTATTTGTTGTTTGTGCTACTTAATGAGTTACGTGCATTAAGATTAGCTAACACGTGTCTGTTTGTGTGTGTGTGTGTGTTTGTTTTACTTTATTTTGTTGAGGGTGAGGTGGTTACTATTCACTACAAACAGAATAAAAAAAGTCTAATTACTCTGAACCCTCGAACAAGAGGAAGGGTAGTAACAGCTGTCACATGACCTTTTTTGTAATAGAATTCTACCCATATCTGTACTGGTCTCCATCTGTACTAATCTTAGCTCTCTCTGAGAAAGATAGTTGTCACAACAGATAAGACTGAAGGCAGCAGATTCAGGTGTGGTCTTTCTTCCCTCATTAACTATGAGTGTCAACAGCACCAGAGCCAGAGATTAAGGAGACCTGACTTCCATTTTCAAACCAGACTAACCAGATCATGCCTAGTCAGAATCAATGGAACAGAAACCAAATCCTAATATCTCCCCCCATCTCCATTCCATGACAGACCAGAAATGGCTCTGACCAATGAAAGATTACTCACCTCTGCAGGTGGGTCTCGGGATCTTCTCACTGACGTGAAGGTACAGTCCTGCCAGTTCTTGCCCATATTCTGTTGAAGTAGTCAGGTCAGGCTTGGAATTGGAAATGCCTGGTACAAAGAGAGATAACATGTGGGCCTCGATGAACTAGGAGGACTGGGGACCCAGCTGTTTTTCAAAGGAGTGTCCTGAGTATGAAAGGAAATATGAAGGCTCTGGAGACCACTTAAGGCAACTCATCTTAGGATATGTGGAGCTTCTAAGATACCAATGCTCACAAGATAAGCAGGATAGATGGTGAAGACCACAAAAAGAAGAGTCTGGGCAGGTAGAGTCAGACCACCTGATGACTACAACCCCTCCAATAGTTGGTTGAGACTGTGGTTTAGTATTAAAGAGCATGGACTCAGAACCAGCCACAACTGAGTTCCATCGTAACTCAGCACTTACGAGCTAGGTAAGAGTGAGCAAGTGACCTAATCTGACACTCACCTCCATCACCTTAAAAACAGGAACATCATCACCCACTTCATAGATTCAAGGTGCATAATGCACCTCTGACAGTTCCTGGTACACAAAATACATTCAATACCAGGAAGTTCTTACTATAACTCTGCTACCTCCAACTCACTTCAGTTCCCAATGGTGTTGCTATGATACTCTGCACCCAGACATATTCAAGGAGAGCAGCTATCTCTAAGAGTACATAGAAATGCTTAACAGTCCTTCCATCTCCTTGCATCAGGCTAGCCCATGCCCTCACCTCCTGAGACCATTTTCCCATAGGTCTCCAGCATGAGATCCCAGTATTGCTCCTTTTGAGTGGAATCCAGGTGCCTCCACTGCTCCTAGAAAACACACAATGCTGTGAATTCACTGAAAGTCTTTGAACCCTGCCTTCCCTGCCTATAGGAGGCTGAGAAGAAGGGGTTGTACCTTCGGAGCCTGGCCGCTGGAATATGTAGGAATCATGGGAGGTAGTTCAAGGAAAAAGGCCAAAGGGAAACCACAGTCCCTACATTAGTATTTCTTGCCTATGTCTTTGAACAGTGGGAGCGTGGTATTCCCAAAATTTCATTAAAACCTGGAAATTCAAGAGGGAAAAGAAGAAAATTAAAAAGGTATTTGTTGGAAAAGCAGCTGTAAATCAGTAAAAAAGCGGGAAGAAGTAACAATGAAGTCAACTGAGCTGTAAATCTCACTGGGAAAGAAACTGGTGGACTCAGAGCATCGGGAGAGGCTGCAGCCATCCACCGGGGATCTCCAACAGTTCTGAGTTTAGTGTCTAACATCAAATCAGTTTCCTGGGAAATTGATGAGTTGTCTAGAGCAAGATGCCCCTCAAGTATCCCCAAAACATCTTTTTCTTAGCCTATGACACTGGAGACTCGAGACTCAACACTGGGAATGCCATCTAAGTAGGGTCTACTTTCGTGAATTCAAATTTCAATCTCCCCACCAAGGAAACAACTGTGAGAAACTCAGATGGTATAGGAGAGTGATTTACAGCACAGTCCTTGGAGTCAAACATACTGGGTTTCAAGTCCCAGTTCTGCCACTTCCTAGCTGTGATCCTGAACAAGCTACTTAACCTTTCTGGGCCTCAGTCCTCACTTAATGAGAGTACCAAACTCAAAAACTGTTGGGAGGCTTAACAGGAGTAGTGCAAGTGTCATCTGTTTTGAGCACACTGCACTCTTCACTCACAACACTCATCAGTTTATTAAGTAGCTATGTAAATGTACACTATGTATATGACAGAACACCCAATCTTTTTTATACACACACATATGAAAGTATTTCATCAACAGTCGGCTCCACTGGCACATAGCACCATGAGAAAAGATTCTCCACTGTGCTCTTCTAGCCCCCAGACCCAGCACATCACAGCGAAGGACAAGTCTTTTAACTATCAGATCCTGAGGAGGGGAGGGGGAGGAAGAAGGGGAGAAGGGAGGGGAGGGAGAGGAAGGAGGAGGGAAGGAAGGGGAGGGAGGAGGAGAAGAAAGAAACAAAGAAAGAGAGAGAGAGAGAGAGATTGATTGTGAGGAATTGACGGAATTCCTCCAATGACTCTTAGTGTGAAAGCAGGGGAAATTGCATTAAATTGAATAGCAACTGTTTATCAGTTGAATTGTGTCTCCACAAAAGAGAGATGTTGATGTCCTGACCCTGGTACCTGTGAATATGACCTTATTTAGAAGTAGAGTTATGCCAGCTCAAGCTAAGGAATATCTGGGGCCACCAGAAGCTGGAAAAGGCAAGGAAGGCTCCTCACTCCCAGGCTTTGAAAGGAGCAAGACCCTGTCAACACCTGGATGTTGGACCTCTAACTTTCAGTACTGTGAGGAAACAAATTTCTGTTGTTTTAAGCCACCCAGTTTGTGGTGCCTTGTCATGGCAACTCTAGAAAACTAATAAGCAATAGAGTGAAGGACCCCTCACTATCCACAGTCACATCTCCAACTAGCCCTTCCCTACCCACAGACAAAAGTGGAATAAAAATTTTTTAAAGGAAGATCTGAAATGCAAATCTAGTTGCAGCAACCAAAAAAAAAAATATTTTAACTAGAAATTCCTGAAGTGCAGTTAGACTGTAACAAGGTTCTGGGAAAATGTCTCTGATCAAACACTGCTGTCAAAACTCAAGCCTACTGAACCTTTATAAATGTGCCTTTAAATACAGAGACAGGGATTATTTATCCAAGTTGCATTTCCTCAACTCTGTGCTACAAAAGGAAGGAATCCAGAACCTAGTATTTAAAGTTACCAATACTATTACTATGTCATGACAAAAGAAATACAGCATGACAAGTAAAACTCTNGATATATTTGACTATGTATTTAACTATTTACTATAACCGCATTTTTAATATAAACTTTCACTTAGAGTGTTTTTATTTTTAAAGTAAAAATCGTTAGCAGCTTATTTTGTTCATCTCCTGTGAATGAAGCTACCTTAACAACTTCCTAAAAATAGCCAACTTGAGCAAACACTGCCGACTACAGGAGCACTCTGTCTTCCCAGGGGGAACACTGGCCCCCGCCTCAGCGCTGCCAGAGAGAAGGCTGGCAACTCCAAGGATGTGACATCTGACTGGCAGTCTGGCTTGCAGGATATGACGCTACTCCATAGGCACCAAACAGTAGCCACCAAGCACAGTACAAGATAAAAAAGAACACAGCCACCAAAATCCCAAGGGCTGCAATCAGTCCTCAAAAGCCAGCAGAGGCTTCAGGAGTCTCCAAACAGTGTACCCGCAGCTGAAAGCCACTAATTTACTCAAGGAACTGCAAACAGCTCAGGACGCTTGAACAAAACCTCTTACCTAAGAGGCAGGGCACCTGACCTGGCCAGTGTGGTTCAGTTAGTTGGAGCATCATCCAATGCACCGAAGGGTTGAGGGTTCGATTCCCTTTCAGGGCACATACCTAGGTTGTGGGTTCAATCCCTGAGCGAATATGGGAGGCAACCAATTGATGTTCCTCCCCCCCTTGCCCCGCCTTCCCCTCTCTCTAGAGAAAATCAATAAACATATCCTCGTGTGCAGATTAAAAAAAAAGAGAGAGGCAAGACACCAAGTGCAGCCATCTTGCTTTTAAAAGAGGAGGAAAAATTAAATTCCTACTTTGGAAGGGTGGAAGTAGGAGTTTGATGGAGAAATTATGTCAATTTTGTGTGGAAACAGCACCACCTTGTGGGACGTTATGAGACATTACCACAACTGACTTGCACCAAGTTCTTTGCACTGGGTTCCATTCCCAAAATCTGGAAACACAGGGATGTGAGTCAAGTATCCCCATGTGTATGTGAGGTTCTAACTCAGTCACGGGTTCTAACAATAAAATCCTGCTGTGTAGGGCCACTACTGCATTATCCTGGCATTATTCATCAAGTTCCTAATTTATGAGAGATTAGGGAAAGCAATTACTTATATTTTAAAAATCCCTTCACTGTCCTGGCCAGGGTGCACAGCGGTTAGTGTCGCCCTGTGCACTGAAGGGTCGCGGGTTCAATTCCCAGTCAAGGGCATGTATGTCAGTTATAGGTTCAATCCCTGGCCCCAACTGGGGTGCATGCAGGAGGCAACCAATCGATGTGTCTCTCCCACATCGCTGTTTCTCTCTCTTTCCCACCCCTTTCCACTCTCTCTAAAAATCAATGGAAAAAATATCCTCGGGGGAGGATTAACAAAAGATAAAGTAAAAATAAATAAATAAATGAAAAAGCCCTTCACTTACAAGGGATTCCATCAAATATCAAGGTCCTTCTGATGTAAATACTTGTTAGTTTGGGGAAAGGATATTAGGATTGAGTAGGGATGATATTTATTTGTTTAGACTGAGTGGCTGTTAATCAGTTATCTGCTAAATATAAGGAATTTAACACACACCACACACACATACCACACATTCACATAGTACTGCTGGTGAGCATTTTAAATCTTTTGACTTTAAGCAATCCAGAACAGGTCATGGTTAATGTTGTTATGTTATGTAGATTTAAAATGTGTTAATAAGTTGTATATACTTTTCATAGGGATGCCCTGTACTTACTATAGGATCAACAATAATCCTCCAAATCTGCTTGAAATATTTAAGAGAATACACAGTTATTTTTACCAAGCAATCTCCTGCCTAACAGTTTGGTTCTGGGTACCTTGAAAGCAAGAAGGCACCCCTGAGTCACTGAAAAGGCACCCGTATATCCCTTCCCTGCACCCTCCCCATCCCTTTCCCAGGGTGAACTACAAAGCTGGTGTCCAGTTTCTAAATCCCAGAGCCCAGCACGCTGAGGCTCAGGCCTGATCTTCAGTCCCACATTAAGCAGCACCTATGGGCTTCCCTATGTTCATCTGCACTCTGTATTACCTCACGAGGCAAATCCCAAGAAGGGTTCCCCAAAGGTTTCAAACAATGTTTTGATTAAGATATATAGGTTCCTGGAAAACTTTATTTTTATCAAATATAACTTTTCAGAATTTTTAACTACATTATCAAGATGAACCTGTCCCAGAGACTTCTGTTTACAGACAAGATGTAGTAATAGGGACTGGATTTACTTTTGTGTCTGAAAAAACTGAAAGAAGAGACAAAATATTCAAAACAATGGTTTTTGGATATAGCACGTTAGAGTAGAACAGAGATCCCTGAAAGTGGTAACAAATTAGGTGAGCCCTACAGTTGCCCACAATTACGCCTATAGAACATCCAGAGCAGCAGAGAGGGGAAGCTGGCAGAGCCAGGCAGGCCCCTGGTTGAACAGGAGGAGCACAACGGGGTTAGAGAGTCAGCAAGGCAGAAGGCCAGAGTGGGGGATCTGCACTAAGAGAGCTCCAGAGATCTGCAGAGGGCCCCCCCTGGGTCCAGAAAAGAACCACATAAAAGAAGTGGAGGGAACAAGCCTCTGAGCTTGCATGGTGCTGGGAATACCTCACATCTCAAGAACTGCAGTGGAAAACCTTGTCTATCAAGGAGCAGCAGGTAGAGTCCTAAGAAGGGTATTGCTTCAGTAGTGGGGAAAATTAGCCCTATACTAAATGCTTCTCTGATGCCATATAACACACCGTGTCCAAGTAATCTAACCATATCCCAGAGCACAGCTCAAAGACATTTATAGGAATACAAAAATATCCAGCCCTAGCCAGGTAAAATTCATGTTTGCCACATGATTAAAGATTACTGGGCACACAAAGAAGCAGAAAAACACAACTCATAATGAGGAAATCAATTCATCCATCAAAACTGACACAGGTGATAAATTAGTAGACAAGGACATTAATACAGATGTTATACCTATATTCTATATGTTTAAGAAGGTGGAAAAAAGATTGTACATATTAAGTACATACACAGAAGATATAATAAAGCCCCAATTCAAACTTCTAGAGATTAAAAATATATCTGAGATAAAAAATACACTGGATAGAATTAACAGCAGATTAGACACCAAAGAAGAAAAGATTAATGAACCTGAAAACATTAAAATAGAAACTACCCAAAATAAAGCAGAAATTAGAAAAAGAGCATCAATAAGCTGTAGGACAACTTAGAGAGATCTAATACATGTACACACATTATCATCACACACATCCTACATGTGTATTATTCTCAGAGTCCTCAAAGAAGGAAAAAAGGAAGAAAGGCAGAGAAAAAGTTGAAGAAATCATGGCAAAAAATGTTCCAAATTTGATGAAAACTATAAATCCACAGACCCAAGAAATTTAATGGACACAAGCATAAGAAACATGAAGAAAATGATTCCAAGGCATATCACAGTCAAACTATTAAAAACCAGTGAGAAAATATTCAAAGCAAGCAAGCAAGATACATTATATGCAGAACAAAGATAAGAGTACATAATGGCATGATTCTGTTTCATACAAGATTCTAGGAAATGCAAACTAATGTATGGTAACAGAAAACAGATCAGTAGTTGCCTTAGAACTAGGCAAGTGTGGAGGGGGAGCAGGGAGGGAAAGGAAACTTCTGGTGGTGACAGATGTGTTTTATTATCTTGTTTGTTGTCACTGTTTAATGTTTGTGTGTATATATATATATATATATATATCAAAAAACTTACCAAATTGTACACTTTAAACATGTGCAGTTTACTGTTTGTCAATTATACCTCCATAGAGTTGGGGAGGGGGAGAAGATTAACCTGTCCCACACTGATACAACCACTCAAAATCTCGAACTGACTCCTCTGTGAGAGGCTTAAACTAGGAAATGAAATAGTCACTTCTTAGCATTACCCAAAAATAATAAAAAAGGAGAGACAAGATTGCCTCTTCAGGGCAACTTCTTCCAGGGCCCAGATTCCATTACTCAAGATGATAATTAGGAAACTGTCTTAAGAAAAATGCTGAAGGTTGGGTTTCATCCCACAGGTATAGATATTCTAGATAACTGCTAGGCCATCCTTTCTACTCATTTGAAACCTCTCCCCCTTCAATCCTCCTCTCTACTGACACATCCTCAAAGCCTGGTTCAGGGGCGAAAGGAACAGGGCGACGCAGCTCACCTGAGGTGCTGTGTGGAGAAGTGAGGCTCCGAAGTCCTGGTCCCTGGTGAGCCTCTCCTCGGGTTGGGCAGGAAACTGGGAAGCAGCCACTGCTGAAGAGAAACAGGAAGTGTAAAGAACCAGCTGTCCTCCTCAACCAGTCCCCAGAGGGTACAGGTAAGAATCTTCACAAATCACAACTGATCCGCTCCACCATCTATGATTTCAAGAACTGTAGTTACCTCCCTAACAAACTGCAACTCCCTCCAACCTTCCAGACTCACCCAGATTTTCTCCCATCTTTCCTCAAAACCAAAATCCAAAAGGCCTAGCCCAGTCACAAAGAGTTTAAACCACAGGCTGCGAATATGCAAATTAGAGTGGTTCATGTAGGACTACACTGTTTCTGAACTTTCTAGAGATACCCCAATCTGGGCAGCATTATCGTTTGCAACCCACTCTCAGGCCCAGTAACCACAATCCCCAAGTTTCTCCAAGAGAGCACACACTCCACCTAAATAACTGCCCCCACCTAACTCCTGTTCCGCGTCAGACTCCTCCTTCACCACGTGGCTCAGTGGCTCCCCTCGCCCAGGGGGTGAATTCTGAAGTTCCAGCTCCTGAGGCATCACTTCAAGACGAGACTCCACTTCCCCCACTTGGCAGCTTGCAGATTCCACCTTCTTGGATAAGATGTCCTGACCTAGAACCTGGATGCTGATCTGGAGACCACATAGTACTAATTACTGAAAGATCCAGAGTGAGGGTTTCTGAAAGCTTCTATAATAGATTGTAAACAGTTCTCAGGGACATGGAGTAAGAAAAGAGAAAAACAGCTTTTATTTCTAGTATAGCAGGAACCAGTGAGGGAAACATCCTGAGAAAGGCCAAAAGCTGAGGCCTGAACCAGGCTGGAGGCCTTTGAGACACACCACTAATATTGCATTTCTGCTGAACAGTCTCCACCAGTTGAGACACAGGTGTCTTTTGAACAACATCTCAAACATTCTAGTCTAAAGGTGGAATGGGATGGAAGGCTTTATCTTCAACCCCTAATGGATAAGTGTTGAGAGTCACAAGGACTCTTAGAATTAGATGAGGTGTGTGGATACACTGATGAAGTATAATAAGAATTATACTTGGTCTCTGTCCCTGTTTCTGGGCACAGAGCTCCTAAAACCCTTGGAATTACCTGAAGGAGTGACAGGAGCAGGGGTTGTTATTTATAATGAGCCCCTTTCAACCATACCTGAGTTGATGCTAATGAAGTGATTCTTGGTAGGCCCTCAGATAGCTTCAGGATGGAGGCTGGTCACCAGAGGAACCCACCAGGTGACTAGAAGGTTGGAACTTTCAGCCCCTGCCCTCAACCTCTGGAGAGGGCTGGAAATTTTCACTCATAGTGGCCAATGATAAACCAATCACGCCTAAGTAATGAAACCTCCATAACAACACCTAAACTACAGGTTTCAGGGAGCTTGAGTTAGTGAACATACAGGAGTGGGTGGCCTGGAGAAAACGTGGAAGCTGTGTGACCCCATCTCCTCCAACTGCCTGTTCCTGAATCATCCTTCATAATAAGCTGGTAAATGTAAGTAAAGTGTTTTCCTGAGTCCTATGAGTCAGTCTAACAAATTATCTGAGGACAGGGTTTTGGAAACCTCCAAATTTATAGCCAGTGGGTTATAAGTATGGGTAGCCCTTGAGACTTATAACTGGTATCTGAAATGGGGGCAGTCTTTGAGACTGACCCTTATCCTGTGGAATCTGAGTTAACCCCAGATATTCAGTGTCAGAACTGAACTGAACTGTAAGACACCCAGCTGGTATCAGAGAATTGGAGAACCGGTTGCTAGTATAGAAAACTCCACATATTTGTTATCAGAAAAAAGACCACACACTTGATAAGACTCCAGAGGAGTGCTGTGCTTCACTAACAGATCACTGTACCCTATGCTTACCCACTGCCACAGCCTCTGGGGGTCTCCCTTCAAGCTCTCCACCAGGGTCACTGCCTCCTCTCCGCTGCCTGGACACTGTTTCCGCACCCACATCTGAATCTCTCCAGGGAGGATGGTCAGGAACTGCTCCAACATGAGGATCTCTAGGATCTGCTCCTTGGTGTGAACCTCTGGCTGCAGCCACTGGAAACAGAGCTTCCGAAGTTGTCTCAGGGTTTCCTGGGGCCCAGACATCACCTGGTAACGAAACTGCCTGAAAAGCTGGCGTGCAGTCTCAGGGCTGGAGGGCTCCCCTCTAAGAGCAGCATCTGGTCCAGAGAACGGGAAGTCCTCAGCCTTTGCCAGTGGTGGCAGCAGGACTAGGGCCTGCCCCAGCTCAACGGGCATCATCTGGCCTGGCAAGTCCTTTTATGTGAAGTTCTTCTGGGATGAAGTTGTCTCTGGGGAGAACCAGGTCCTCACAGAGCCTCTCACAGGGACACAAGAGGAGTGAGATCGAGGGCTACACAGAAGAAAGGAACACATTTTGAGAAAGAACAAATCCACATGCCCTACCTGAGAAGCCTAGGAGTCAACCACCGATGTTTGCAAATCAATGGACACACTATTTTATTTTGAAAGACTGTAAACATGAAGCCACAAAGCTAACCACTAATACATATCTAAACAGTCACCATCACCCTGAGCATTTTATAACATCCCCTCTTGGTATTCAAATGTCCAGCCCGAGTAGAAAAATTAAATGCACCACATGAAGCATCTTTACTATGGGTTTCCAGGGAAACAGCTCTTCTGCAAAATACTTCTATATCTGCAGCCACATGTCAGCAGACTAAAAAAATAAAGCTGAGCCCTAGCCAGTCTTGGTCAGTGGTTAGAACGTCAGCTTGCAGACTGAAGGGTCTCAGGTTCCATTCCAGTCAAGGGCACGTACCTCGGTAGCAGGCTCAATCCCCGGCCCCAGTCGGGGTGTGTGCAGGAAGCAACCAATCGATATGTCTCTCTCACATCAATGTCTCTCCCTCACTTTGTCTCTCTCTCCCTTCCACTGTCTCTGAAAAGCAATAGAAAAAATATCCTCAGGTGAGGATTAAAAAAATAATAATAAAAAAATAAAGCTGAACAAAGGCATCAATGCCCTAGAAATAAAGGCTAATGCTGAAATGATCAGATGCTTCCACAACAAATATGAGGTTGAAGAGAACAAATTAACTCTTCCTCAAAAAGTGCAATGAAGTTTCTAAGTGACCTCTTTTGAGTGTCATGGGAGTTTATAAAAAAACCTGACACACCTGAAATTTTCAACCTTGGGCTAAAAGAAGGTATAGAATAAATACTAACTACCTCGAAAACATTCTTACAGACTTGAACCAAGTAATGTTATAGCGAATGGTATCAAAATTTAGGAGAGAGCAATTAAGATGGGAAAAAGAAATATTAAATGTCAAAGTAAATGCTGTATCTCGTTAGCTTTCTTGCACATAATTCTAACACTGGATTGATTACTGGGTCAATCCTTAAATGTTATGAAGGACCTAGAGGTCATCATTCTCCATAACACCAACCACAACAACCAAAAGACACCCAGTCACTGGGTATCTGGTGTAATCAGACATCAGTACAACACTCTAGCTTTTGATAGCTGCTTTTTACTCAACATATAAAAACCAATGTCCCTATCCCTACCTACCACCTCACCCAAACAGCTCATCCTATATCACAAAATCATCTAAAAACCAAAACAAAGAAAACAAAATTTCTCAAGAGAACACAAAAGGAAAGAGCAAAGTAAACATATTTCATTCATATATTCATGCAGCAACCAGTATACTACAGTGACATATATTATGTGCTCAATAAATATGTTTCACGAATTCTATTCTGGTCATGACAGAGTAACTGGTAGTATATATAAAACTCAAGAAAACTGATAAGGCAACTTTCTCAAGCACTAGACAACAGGCAGGCAGAAATGAAACCCCTGAAAGAAGAAAAGCTCATGAGGTGAATCCCATGAATATCCTGGCTGTCAGGGTGGGGACAATTTCCCATGGAAAGGAAGCTGGAGCTCAAGCAGACATCAGTAGTCTCATTAAAAAACTAAACTGAGGAGGCAGATATCAGAATTTGGAGCCACTGTCTGGCTAGCATGGCTCAGTGGTTGAGCACTGACCTACGATCCAGGAGATTGAGGTTCCATTCCTGGTCAGGGCACATGCCGGAGTTGGAGACTCGATCCCCAGCAGGGGGCATGCAGGAGGCAGCTAATCAATGACTCTCATCATTGATGTTTCTCTCTCTCTCTCTCTCTCTCCCTCTCCCTTCCTCTCTTTGAAATCAATAAAAAGTATATTAAAAAAAAAAAAGAATTTGGAGCCACTGAAATGGCTGGAATCTAAAGAACAGGGCAGCAGAGAGCAGGGAGCTACAGGGGTGGAGGCAGAAGTCTGTGTGGGGTTTCCCTGTGATCCCTTGGCCAAGGGTTAGACTGCTCATTAGCAAGGTGAAACTATGCAAGGTGTAACAAGAAAGTAGCTGCTACCAGATTAAGAACAAAAGAGAGATACAAAAGACCAATCAGTGATGAGAGGCATGGGAGTTTTTGACCACTGAGAGTGGGGAGACCTCTTCCTTCATTAACACTCGAGGCATCCTGAGATACCAGAAAGGCCCCATGTTCAAAGACCATATCCTAGAGTAAGACCTACTCTAAACCTGCCCTGAAAAGCCTAAAGCCAAGCCTCAACAAGATCGACAGAGGTGAGCCAGTCTACTGGTCTAGTCTGATCTAGTTAGAACTTGGGAAATGCCTTGGGCTTTCCAACAGCCTGCCCTAACAAGGCATAAAACCAAGCCAACACAAGTCAAACGTGATTAGTCAGTAACTGAACTGCCAGCTAGAACAAAAGTCAACACACTTTAGAGGAAGATAACAGAATCCTTAGCATCAACAATGTGTCATCCACAATAACTAGGATGCAACAGAAAATTAAAGACATGTTTCAGATAAATAAGGTAGGAGAATTATCCCCCACTGACTTGTACTACAAGAAATGCTAAAGGACATCCTTCCAGTTGAAGGGAAACTCAGATCTACAGAAAGGAATTAAAATCTCCAAAAATAGTAAATATATGATAAATAAATATAAAGTACCATGCTTTTATTTCTAACTTCCTTCAAAGGCAACTGACTTTTAAAAGCAAAAATAACAGTACAAATAGAACATAACATAAGTAGAAGGTATTAAAATAGTACAAAGGAGGGGGTAAATGGAATCAATGGCTTGTTAGGTTATTACATTTATGAACTGCTAGTTGAGAAATAAAAAGTGGGAAGTGAGTGGTAGTGGAAATGGAAAGTGTAAAGGTATTGAGAGGCAAGAAATGAGAAATGTGAACCATGGAGTGTAAAGTGGTACAATATTAAAGTAGACTCTGACAAGTTAAGGTGAACTTTGATCATTTAAGGATACATACTGTTAGTTGTAAAAATAGAAAAAGAGGTTTAGCTAAAAAGCCAAAAAGGGATACTAAAAAACATTCAATAACCCAAAATGCGATAGGAATGGGTCAAGAGAAGAGTAAGAAAGATCAAATGGAAAAAAGACTACAGTAGACTAACACACAACCATATCAATAATTACATTAAATGTAAATAGGCTAAACACTTGAATTGCACAGTAGATTGTCAGATTTTAAAAAAGTAAGACCCAATCAAATACTGTCTGCAAGAGGTATTTTACATATAAAGACACAGCTTGGAAATAAAATAGTGGGGAAAAGACATTCTATGCAAGTAGCAAGCACATGAAAGCTGGTATGGTTATATTAGTATTTGACCAAGAGATCTCAAGACAAAGAGAAAAAAGGGGACATTTCATTATGATAAATGGGTTAAGTCATCTAGAACACAAAAGAATCCTAAATGTGTATGCACTTAATACAAGTCTAAAGGGACAAATCCTCAATCATACTTAGAGATTTTAACATCCTTCTGTCAATAACTGATAGAACACGTAGACACTCCCCCTCAAAAGAAAAAAAAAATCAGTAAGGATACAGAAAATCTGAACAACACTATCAACCAACTTGATCTTATTGACATTTAGACCCAACAATTGTCAAATACACATTCAAGTGAAGATGTAACATTCACCAAAACAGACGATATGCTTAATTAAGTTTCAAAAGACTGGAATCTTAAAGTATATATTCTCTGATCATAGTGCAATTAAATTTGAAATCAGTAAGATACCAAGAAAATCCTAATATATGAAAATTATTAAATAACAATCTTTAATAATCTATGGTCAAAGGAAAAAATCACAAAGAAAATTAAAATATGTTATCATATTGAATGATAATAAAAACACAACATATCAAAATTTGTAGAAAACAGCGAAAGCACTGTTTAGAGAGAAATGTACAGCCTCACATAAATATGTTTTAAAAACTGAATAAATATACATGTATCCTTCATTAATCTATTTAGTTCCTGAGTGTCAAATAACAAGTAGCAAGATTTTAGAGACTGATTGGTAGGCTTATTCAAATTTATTTGGTTCCTAAGTTAAGGTGGCAGTTTTAGATAACATTTAAGAAAAATGGCATTTAAGGAAAACTATAGATCTTATAAAATATTTAAATCTGATTTTAGTAATTATATTCTCAAATAATGGTAAGAAAAATGCCTCAATTATTCAAAATTAAATTTCTTTATAGAGAATTTCTGGGTTTCTATCCCAATGACTTCATGAAAATCTGCTTGTTTGTTACCAAAAAAAAAAAGGTTATCCCAAATGTATAGTTGCTATATTTATTAAAGCAGTAATAAATTAGAATGAATTTTAAAACGTACATCTAGGTAAGTATACTTACTATACATACATGCATAAGTAACCTTTTGTCAAGCACCTACTATTGACACAGACTCTCTTTAACCAAACTTTAGTCCAGCTCCCGAGACCTCCTTTTTGACTAGACCTAGCCCTTGTGCTCTGTCCTCGGACATTCTAGTCCAGTTTTATCAAGAATCTTGCTGCGTCTAGTTTAGGGAAAATGCTCCAGCTTTGGCGTCTGATCAAAGTCTATATTCCCCCACCCTTGGTAGCTGACCACCCTTGATAAACAAATTCCTTCTTCACCCCAGTCTGCCTTCAGCAAAACGCCTGTCAAGTCGGCTTAGTCAGAATCCCCCCTTAATCCAGATGTTTCCTTCAGTTGTCCATCCACTGACCGCCCCCTTACTCCCTGACTATGAATCTCCACTTGTCCTTGTTGTATTCACTCTCTTTTATGCAAAACCCCATTTTAGTCGTCCCCCTGAGTGAAGTCGGCCTTACCGTCTTTAACAAGCGTCTGGAGTAACGTGTTCTTTCTTTGGGGTGCCTTGAGTAAGGGATCAGCTCCGTATTAGGCCCTGTTCATGTCATTTCTAATCCTCGCAATTACCCTGCAAGGGAAGAATTCAAGTTTATAGATCAGAGGCTCCCCTGGCAGCCACATTCAAACCCAGGAAGCTCTAATGCCTGTGCTTTGGGGTAGGGAGCTTGCCAACGTTTGGGAATTTGGGGGGGCGTGTTTGGGGGTTGCCACGCACGCTTCGGGGGAGCCTCAGGTACTTAGCGCCCCGGAGGCCAGGGCTGCTGAGCCCTAACAGGCGCTGGGCGGTGCTACCCACCGGCCGTTCCCCACCCTCCGGCCCCGGGAGGGGCCCGGGCACCGGCCCCTCAGGGTTCCCTGCTCCTGAGGGTCACGTCCAGCTCTGGGGAAGGCAGGACGGAGGGGCCCGTCTCTGGTCCCAGTCCAGAGAAGCGGCTGGAGAGTCCAGGGGGGCCCACGGGCTCCGGGACGGGGAGCCGGGTCGGGGCGCAAC